TAACAATAATAAATAACTGAGTAGTGCCAGATCTGGATGTGACCAGTGATGAAACCTTGGAGGCAAACGTTAGCTATACAAATAAAATTTGATTGATGATTACTGATTGATTGACTGACTTACTGATTGATAGTATGGCTTTGGCTCAGGAGCTTGAGCGGGTCGTCCACACGACCAGCTGAGCCGTTCGATCCTGTCTCCCCCATTCCTCGTGCCAAGTGTCCTTGGCAAGATACTGAACCCCACATTGCCCTTGACTGCTGTGCCAGCAGCGTGTAAGTGATCCATGATAGCTATAGATGACTGTATGGAAGTGTGTGTGAATGGGTGAATGGCAGACTGTGTTGTAAAGAGCTTTGATTGGTCATCAAACCTAGAAAAGTGCCATATAAGTGAATTGATTGATTACCCAAGAATCATGAAACAAGGCATCCATTGGATTATTTTGATACTGAGGAAACAGCTCCTTGGTTTATTTCTAGGATGTGAGAGTATGGTATGATTAATAAACAGGAGGAGAACATATGAAATGCATATGAAATGAAATAAACTAAATCTACAGCCCTCCCCTGCCACTACAGCAGACATGAAAGCAAACAGCAGGACGTCCCAGCTGCCCCACATACCAATGAGAATTTCTTCTTTCTGATTTGAACCAAAGAGAGCTTCCCTCTGAAACCATATATGACCTCCATAATATACAGGTGACAACGATCACAGATGGAACTCCCGGTAAATCCTCTGTCTCGGCTTCTCCTGAAACCCCCGCTCTCTCAGGAGGCTCAGGAAAAGGCCCCCTGCAGGGCAGCCTTACTTTGAGCACAGCCTCGATTCCCTCCGATAGTTTGTTTTGCTTCGATTGCCCGGTGATCAGGACCAGCTGCAGTGGGTTGCAAAATATGTTTTCTGTGTGTGTTCCCTGTTTTGTTTAGCTTTGTTTATGTTTACAAAGGAGCAGATGAGACACTGGTAGAAAGTCACAGAGCTCTGTTGTGGGTCTCGGTGCTGACTTGAGGTCGGCACTGTGTTCCTTCGAAATCACTTTGCGTCGCGACGGACGACGCTGTGTTCCCACGTTTGGGCCCCGGTCAATATGGAAGGTCATTTCTTTAAAGTGGAGAGAGAAAGCTGTCAGCGTCTTTTTGTTTTCTGGACGCACATGCCTGTTTATTGCAATGGGAATGTTTTTATGTGAACAATAAATACCAACAACGTGAGAAAACAGGCCCATATCTGTTTTCATGATGCTCAATCAGCCTGTAAATGCTACCTCACTGTTTAAATGGCAGGTGTTCCTCTTTAACGCTACGGCAGCCTGGCTCAGATTTCCCCAATATGAGTAAAGTTATCTGATCAGAGCTGCGTCCCAACAGCAACATCCAGTGAAAAGATGATAACACACAGGAGGAGGGGGGAGGGGGGTCTTCTCCAAAAGAGAGAATGGGCCGCACAGTGAGTTTTCAGAGCCAAATATTTAAGCATCTGGTAAAGTAATCCCTGTAACCCCGGCATATTAAGTTTATTTTGTGCAAAGGGCCACTAGTCTCGCGGGTCAGCCATAACATATACGTCAGGTGAGTTCCGCTGGGTTTTGGCTCAGATGGGTATCGAAGCAATTAAACGCTAAACCATGTT